AAGACAACGCTTGGAGACACACTAGGTGATGTATCTCACTTAGAAAATGAAGAAGATTAACGGATAACACATGTTTTCAGGAATCTAGCTACCACGGCACAGGTTTCAACAGAATAGCTGGCCCCAGCCAGCGGACTCGCCCAAAACACCCCCCCTCTCTCTCTCTCACCCGCCTCTCAGTCTGCGGACCTCAAGCAGAAGACTCCCTCTCTCAACAGATACAAGATTCACACCGGAAACGCAGGAAGACAGCTACGCACAAACACCGAGACATATGTCTCCACCTGATCATGCTCGTCCCATCGACTGTGCCTGTCGCTTCGCGATCGGGTACTTAACAGGTGTGAAACCTCAGTGCGTGCGGGGACTTCGTGCGCGTGAAGTCTCGTAGTACCGTAGTTGAATGTTGTAGTATAGTATCGATGAATAGAAGTAAGTGGAGAGAACGCGACTATTGAGGTCGCGCTCGTCTCCTAGGGTTGCCTAGAAGTCCTAGGCAGACCCTCGTTAACCCAGAGGAAGGGCTCTCGTATCCTGTGGAGGAGGGAGCATTGTAAGGGGGCTCACCCTTGGTCTTACCAGCAGTGGACACCTTAGACTCATCACGCGAGCTTGGTAGCAAGATGATGGTGGTTTAATGTCTAGAGATTGCTACGTACAATAATCGTCAAGAAGTCAAGATTATGTAAGCGAGTCTGCGCGTATTCTCCTATTCCGTATCACAATGCCCCCCTGCGCGCAGTGTCGCATTACATCCTCATGCGAAACCTCCTCGGTTACCTCTATCCCGACGGTCCCTCCTCTTGCCTTTGCCCGGCGCTGGCTGCTTCCCTTCTCTGATCCGTTGTTCGTCTTCTTCCTTCTGCTTCCGTCCTGCTCTGCGACTTCGTCGTGCACGGCTCGTTGGCACGTTCTCCTCCCGATCCGAAGGCTCTCCTTCCTCCTCCTTATTCGCCAGTCGTTGGTGTAATGACCTTGTCGAGTTACTCTGGAAGGGCCTCGAAGAGGACCCTTGCACGAACTCCGGGCTAGGCGACTGTAATCGTTGTGATAAGGAAGCTGGTGGAGCCACACGATCGATTAAGGGAGCCGGATCACGTAGGCGCTGTGCCAAGGGAACGGCAGTGGTATGAGGTCGATCCGTGCTAGACGGAGAGCGCAAGCGTCCCAGTAAAGATGAACTGGACGTAGTTGGAGGAGGCTGATGTGGGTCCTGACTTGCTGCTGGCAATGAGGGGCGGCCGCAAGAGGCGCAGTTGTTGCACGACGGACAATGATGAGGCTGCATTGGGGGATAGCTCATGGGCGGCCAGTTGGGCAACGGGATTTGCTCCGAGGGGTAGTAACCCGGATAATGGATTGACCACGGATTTTGAGTTGGAGGGCCGAAACCCCAAGGCATGTAGCCCGGTGAAGGTCCCCAAGATGGTGGAGTTGGTCCCGAGGGAAGAGGATTGGGTGTCGACCATGAAAGAGGGGTGGGGGTCGACTCCCAAGGGTTAGAAGTTCCGCTAGGGGTGGGCCAAGCATTAGCAGCGGGCGCGGGTGGCCAGGGATTATGACGATCGCCCCCCAGACTGCCAGCAGGAGCTCGTGGCCGGTAAGAGTCTCCTCTCCTTCTGGGAGGGGACGGGGTGCGAGAGCGAGTACGAGCATGTTTACGAGGTCCGCGGCGAGGTGGGCTCTGATGCAATGGCCTTGGGGGACTCCTCTGGCGCTGAGTTCTAGGGGCGGACTTGGGAGCTGAAGACCTTGGCGGTGCTCTGGGAGGGGAGCGCCTCGGTGTGCTGCGCTGGTTCGGAGTAATCTCCCT